TTGAGCAGACTACATTGAAAGCTTGACCAGACTACATCAAAAGTTTGAGCAGACTATATCAAAAGTTTGAGCAGACTACATCAAAAGTTTGAGCAGACTACATTTAAGCCTTTTTTCCTATATTTTACATTCAACTTGTCAAAAATCAGTGAAAATAAATTCTATCCAAAACATCCAAAAAGTCTTTTCAGCGAAAATTAATTCTAGTTAGAATAACATATTTTACAGTACATTAAAAGAATTATCACACTACATCAGAAGTTTCACCAGACTACATTTTCAAATTTCCTTCTTTATTTTTACATTTTGTAGGACATTAATTCAATGGCGGGCAAAGTACGCTACTTCAACAAGAATCCATGAGAAGATAATACTGATAGCCCCATTGACCTTTGACCCGACAATTCAGCTGTCAAAACCATTTCCTAAGCCCCTTTTGTTTAGATTTCAATTTAAACATAAAAAAGAATTCGCCACCCAGGTAAATACATTGAGATTTTTTGCTTTTAGTTGTGTTATATTTTTTCAAGATAAATTTTCAATTTGGAGAGGAGGGATGCAATACTGTTTTCTGTTATCAGTATTTAGTTGTTAACCTGACACAATGAATCAAATTATTTTGGACAGATGATTGGGGTGCACGTAGGCACTCCAGGTGCATGCTGGGAGGTTACAACTGACCTCCTTTCAGAGGATGACCAAAAAACACATACATTATTTAGGTTCTGTTGATCTTTTCACCGCCAGTTCCCTCTTTTCATCACAAATTCACAAAATAGTCCTGTTTATAGTCTGCACTGTTCTTCAAAGATTGGGACAAAAATAGTCAAATTTCTTCAGTGAAACTGTAAATTAACTCAAATTTTATTGCTGACTCAAAAAAATTGCTGAAAAAATTGGGTGAGAATAGGTTGATGGTGAAAAGGTTAAAAAAAATTAAAAAAAAGAATATTATCTGGATCGATTTTGCATGTTCAATTCAGATATTAACTGAAACAATGGTAAGACTTTTTTTTTTGAAAGTTGTATATCAATTATAAAGGTTTTCAAGCCAATTTATTCATCTTCTGAGCAATTTATAAATTGCAGTATAGGGAGGAGGTTTCATTAAATATAATTGTCAAGTATTATCTTTATGGATGCTAACTGAAAGGCAATATAACCTTTTCACCACCAGACTCTCTCCAAATACACTTTTTGTCTAATATTCTTCAATATTTCTGGAAATGAACTTTAATTTTGGAGCCAACAGACAAAATTTGAGTCAGTTTTCAGTCAAAAAATTTGTCCATTTTTGTCCCAATCTTCTGAAAGATAATGCAGACTGTAAGCGGGACTATTTTGTGATGAAAGGAGAGAACTGATGGCGAAAAAGGTTGAGACCTAGTTACCGAGGGTACATCACAAAATTTATGCATTCAAAATCAATACCTACCCCCCTACCGCCCCCCGCCCCCCACCTGCTTGGAAATTCAGAATCCCAAATCTTGATCTCAACAAATTGTCTATAGTTTACCTCTAATATTCTTTCTAGAAAGCATGAAAAATAGACATTCAGTCTGGATTTTGTTAAAAAAAGAGTATCGGTAGTTATTTCAATAGTTTCCTCGATACAGCTTATTGAATGACTCAATAATAAGACAGTCATGTTGAATTCTTCATTTCCACCCACTTGAAAAACAGCATGAAGCAGGCCAACTGGGCGAATACATTGTGCATGGCACCACAGACCAGCGGCAAGCATTACAAATCGTATTTACAGCGAGCTGTCAGCTAAATGAGGCAATCAGATATTTTTCTCAGCGATAACATGTTATTTCAATGATAAGAGCACTTAAACTTGAAAAAATACCAAACAAAGTACTATTCACTCCAACTGATACTGGTGAATCAACAACTCATGAAAATCGCTGAGCATACAAAACTTGGCCTGCTGGCAAGGAGGACAACTGGTGAGATGAACGTCACACCCAGATACACAATACAGATTACGAACTCTTTAGAGCGGATTGTTTAGTATACAAAGCAATCTAACTTCCAGACTGAGTACTGTAAATACAACTACATTGTTTAGGGGGAATGCTCCAAGGGCATGTACATGTACCTGTAACATGAGTATGCGTGCATATAAATGTTTTGCACAGCCGTACTCTCCATTCATTTCACTATGAATTTTTTATTTCCAGTATTGTCAAGAAATATGAAAAGCTATGACTTAATATTTGAAGGAACCCATGTATCCAAGGAAAGATTCCTCAATGTTTGTACAAACAGTGGAACACAATAACTTAAAGTTTCTACACTAGTCATATAACAGAAAGATGTACTGTCAAAAACAGTGTTGTGTCTAATAGTTAATTCCTGTCATGTATTTGTGAAATCACAGTCCCTCTATCCTTCTATAGAGGGACTGTGATAGAGGGACTGTGGTGAAATCATCCACACCAACAAGCTTCGTTTAGGGAGAGAGAGAAAGAGGGGGGTTGAAGATAATAGTATAATAGTTACATTTACTTCACACTTGCAAACTTTCATTTGAGGGAGAAGGAAGAGGTGAATATTTAACTTAACTTGAGGTGCACATGTTTTGATTATTCACATCCCCCTAAAGCGAGATCAGGTACGGCATAACATCTAGTAGAGCTGAATCAACTAATCATTATTAACTATTCTAATTTCATGACATCATGATTTGAATTTGTAGATTACCCAGCCTGTCGTCAAACAAATCAATGGTATCATGCTTCAAAGTGAGATCACAGATTACAATGCGAATCCCGGGAGGACAATCAACGAGGGCACACCTTTGTACTGATTCATCCACCTGTAAATAACAACATGATCTCATCCTGGGGCCAGACGTTATCATGATCAATATCCAACCCACTGTCTACGAGAACACGCTGTAAAAGCACGTAAAGCTGAGCATGAATAATAGACTTCGTTGTTTGCCGATCTTAGTAATCACAGAGTCGGGACAATACTAATGAGGTTGCTGGGGTTTAATCTTTATAACTTATCGTAGTAAATTCGGAGGACATGAAGATTAATTAATAACAATTCACTTTGTTTGAACTAACTTCCTATTGAAGTTTACAAGCCGATAAATGCTGACAATGGTTCATCTGTGATATGCCCACCCACAGTGGGCATGGACAATACAAATCTAATCGTCTTTGTTATTTTTTATTGAATTCTTCAACCGTCTTCCAGCAACTGGTATTGGAGACAGTTGTGTGACATCCAGGCTGACATCAGCAAAAGCTAAATGTATATAGAGTTGACCCAGAGCAAGCTACCCATAAAGGAAAACAGCAACATTGTATCACTGCACATTTAGATTCTGTTTCATTGGTCAACCACGGTCACATGGGGGGGACACAATTCTATGTACAATGTACTCGTACACAAACAACAACAGTTTCTGAACTCTTCCTAAAATGGCATTCCTTTGGGAATAGTTCAGGGTACAATTTAATAGGCATTTTATCTGCACATGTATGGGGGGAAACAAGACAATGATATAAATCTTCGAGAAGGAAGTCACATTATTTGTTCATTCATTTACAGTATAATAAATATAACCCAGGGTAATAACTATCCCACGCTGAAAATGAAACAGTCTCACATTTTGGATGCAAGTTTCCATGTCAGTGTTCCCCTCATTGCCGGTCGTTCAAGCATGGTGGTTTTACCATGCTTAACTTTTAGATGAGTTCTATTGGAGTGTTCGGATTATTAGAAAAATTGTAAGTCCATATCTTATAGTCAAAATTTGTGTGGTTTCACCAGAATTCGAATTTCTGCAGCTCCCAGAAAACAATCAAATCCTTATGAATCCATTAACAATTACATTTATCAGAAAGCCAATGAAATTAAAATACACAATCAAATAGAAAGCAAAAACAACCACGAGCATGATGGCGTAGTAAAAAGCATTAATTTAAATTGTTCATTTCATACAATTTGCATGAATTTTTCACATAATATGAATGCTCTAAGAGTGCGGCTTTATTTACCGCTGTTGTTATAAAGTTTATATGCAAATTATTCACCATGTTTGGGCATTTACCTAGAGAACACTGACATCAAATGTGTGAATGTAGAAGAATGTGGACATGATGTATTATAAATGACTGGCCCTTGCATAAAAGCAGGGAAACAGATAAATTAAGCTGTTACACTCATGACTGGCCATGTATACTGCTGTCCTCATGGCCGACCAACCAATAGGTACATGTTTACTGTTGCCCTCATCGCCAGTCAATAAGTGCATACATACTTTACAGCAAAAAGGTTACATGTAAACATCAGAGGCGACCCACAAATATGCTGGCTTCATCAGATTGACCCTGGACTCATCCATCAAGGATGACATCAAATTTCTTGCGATTTCCTGAATAGAAAGGGGTTGCCTCGAGTCTGAGAGCAACAGACATACTGATGTTAAACAAGCAGCCTGTCGGCTGAGATAGCTCCGCTGTTAGCAATGCACATTTCAATTAAAGAACAGAAGATATCATTAGAAAATAAACAATATGTATAGTATCAAAGCAATGGGACTTGCTGTTTTCAACAAGAATTTAAAAATATCACTTTTCAGCAAAAATGACAAAAACAATCATCAAAATTACATAATTGAAGATATCACCACGAAATTAACAAATCTGAAAGAGGTCCACATGTAGTACCTATATATGTAATATAAAAACAATCAGACTTGCGATTTTCAACAAGAAGTCGAAAATATCACTTTTTACCAAAAATATTCATCAAAATATTCATCAAAATTAGAGAATTGAAGATATCATCATGAAATGAACAAATCTGAGAGAGGTCCACCCAAGGTACATACACACCAAGTATCAAAGCATTCAGGCTTGTAGTTTTCAAGAAGAAGTCAAACAAATAAAACATTGACACGGACGACGACAGACAATCACTCATATGATAAGCTCCGCTCGACAAAGTCGACAGCGGAGCTAAAAACAAGTACTCACCCTAGCTTTCTTTTTCTCCCACCCTGCAGGTCATCTATTCCTGAAAAAAATACAAGAATAATCTCCATCATTGAAAATAAATAACAAGCAGTCTCTCGACTGAGATAGCTCCGCTGTTAGCAAGGCATATTTCAATTAAAGAACTGAAGATATCATTAGAAAATGAACAATATGTATAGTATGTATAGTATTTGGACTTGCTACCAAAAATTACATAAATATTCATCAAAATTAGATAATTGAAGATATCATCACGAAATGAACAAATCTGAGAGAGGTCCACATGTAGTACCTATATATATAATATCAAAGCAATTGGACTTTTGGTTTTTAACCAGAAGTCGAAAATATCACTTTTTACCAAAAATGACAAAAATATTCACCAAAATTAGAGAATTGCAAGATATCATCATGAAATGAACAAATCTAAGAGAGGTCTACCTCAGGTACATACACGCCAAGTATCAAAGCATTCAGGCTTGTAGTTTTCAAGAAGAAGTCAAAAAAGTAAAACATTGACACGAACGACGACTGACACCGACGGACAATCACTCATATGATAAGCTTCGCTCGACAAAGTTGACAGCGGAGCTAAAAATACTTTACTGTTTCATATATGTCTTCCTAAAACATGACTCTCCACTAAATAGAAATGAACTTACACAAGACTAATGGGGGGACGATAAAAGGTAGGGGTGATAAATGATGCACCAAGGGAATATACATATAAGTTGAGAAACAAATACTGTAAACCACTTTAATTTTATAAGACAAATTTTATTTTCATGAATGTCATAAAATTATTAAATCCTGAAAATTTCTAGCAGGGAGAATTAAGCAGTTTACATCATTTGTGATATAGATAACATTTTTTTTTACATTAGAAATTGCTGAGACTCTGATTGCCAAAAATACTACAATATTGTCAGGTTTATGAACCAATATGTAAACCAATAGTTATTGTATACTGTATTATTCATAATACGATTTATGCTACATGTACTTAGTATATACCGGATTCTGCCATAAATTCACCCAGGGCCGTTAAACGGCAGTTCGGGTTTTTTAAAAAATAAATTGGAACCAAGAAACCGCCCAGGGCGATTTTTCGGCAGTTTTTTTAGGTGCTATTTTAATCTTTTCTGATGCCCAAAAGTTTCGCCGTAGTCACATCAAGGGTATTGATGTGTATTGCGACTTGTGTGAATGGGTTAGCTTCGTTTCGACAATGAGTTGTTATCGCTGTAAATAATGTTAAACTATTCTTCAAATGCTCAGTTTATCTTTTGAAAACAACTGCTTTTTTATTTGAAAACAAATCATGCCGCTTTCCCATCAAAATCCAAGCCAAAAGATCGTACAACAACATCGGCAAATCTCTTCCATGCTGGGTTCAATAACATTAACATATTTAAATGTGTTATGGTAATTTGAACATGTTGGCATCATCCATCGTTTTCATTGGTTAATTATTGATTTGACCTGTCAGGTCAGTTCAAAACATGGCGGATATTCATTTCTACAGCATCAAGTGTTGAAAATGCGATCGGAATCATTCGCTTACGATGAAATAAGTTGAAATTTCAACTTCAAATTCAACGAATTTATTTTTTGCACGTTATTATAATCATTACTAGGTAATACCGGTAATCAACAATTGTAAAACGCAGCATTACCGGATTGTGCTACCACGATCATTCGCTACTAAGCAATGCAGTTGTGTTCGTTGTTATTTGAAACTTCTTTTAACATATACTTTCGTTACTAATAAAATGAAACAAAATAATTGTATTTGGCGCACGATGTTTGTTAATGTGATTTTATTGGAGAAAGATGCACTGTCTACTTATTAAACCAGCTAGGAAAAAATGTATACAATTTTAGTTCTTTCGTTTTGGGTGGTTCAACTGCTGGTGTTGAAAGTCGGCGTAGGTGGATTTTTCAATGAAAATATAAGCCCCCTAAAAATATTTGATGATAATTTTTTGAAAATTTGAACCCCAAATAAGGGCCCACTAGCCGTTAAACTGCCCAGGGCGATTTTTCGGACAGAATCCGGTATATTAAAGTTTATGCACTACCAATAGAGTAAATACAGTAATTTGATATCATTGCGAAACAATTGACTACATTTATAATGTATCATGGCTAAGACATTTTAAAATCTTACACAGCCCCCAGAATTAAAGATGGCCCAACCCTGATTCAGTAGAACAGTAACTGGAAACAGAAAGATAATGCATTGTACACAAAATTTATTTTTAACTCATAGAATGCTATATTTTTTGTCCACCAGCATTTTGGAGCAATATTTTGCCAATTTCTATGATAATTTTGCACCAAATGAACATTTATCATTGACTGAATTCTTGATCAAGATTATGAAAGTATATTGAAAAAAATTATGTAAGTTAATTTTGTGCTAAAAGTGTTCAAAGTTCAGATGAAAGTGAATAATGTTGTTAAGCATCTATAATGGCTCTCAGATGAACTCATTTTCAAACACTACAGGACTTCCACATATTACTTTTTGACAACAAATTGCCCTGTCTACTTTTTTCCCATATAAACAGCTTGAACCAATAATAGTATGGAAACCAAGAGGTCAAAGTTATTCCAGGGTAATTTAAAACAGTAGGAACTTTCCATTCCTTGTGGTGGGGTGGGAAGGTCTGCAGAGGGGCAAGGTTGTGACTTCCATCCTCACCTCTTGAAATATGCAAATGACGGCGATTGTTGTTTCATTAACAGATGCACGTCAGACTGATTTCACTTTTACTTTGTCAATATGCAAGCGCATGCTTCATTTAATTGTATGCAAGCCGCTGGCAGAAATCTGTATCAAGCTATATAAAAGGCAGGGAAGCCATTTCACAAACAAAAGAAAACCACAAAATGTAAACGGAATTTTATACACGATAGCGGTTTGTTATTTATTATTGCATTGACAATGAATAAATTCAACAACTGATGAGTTTAAGATGGTATGAACATCCAAAGTGAACACATTTTAGTAGTAAAACAAAAGTTTCTGAAATTAAATAATTTGAAACAGGAACATTCCATGGTCAAAACTACACCTCATCTTGAAAATTTGTACTCAACTCAGGTAGGCTTACATAATGGATGGAGAAATTTTAAAAATATTGAAATCAATGTTTTATAATGTACGAAAACCAAATTAACAAAAAAAGTTGAAATTGGATGGAATTGGATTTAAATTACTGCAAACTGGTCTGAAATAATTTACCATAGGTAAACAGTATACTATTATTGTATTTATTTATTTATTCATTATATTGTCATTTCAGGGACAAAATAATATGCCAAAACAGTTTTTGAAACTTGAAACACTAAAAAATATGCCCATAAAAGCATCCCTAGCTTTGTAGAAAAAAACGTTACAATACTGGTATAAATTATCAAATACTATTTCAGGATTGATGTCAAAATTTAGTAGAATGTCACAACAGAAAATGAGCAACAGTCAATTGTTTCCCTTCAGGGTAACCCTCATAAAATACAAAGTCATCCATTTTTGTATATTTTTACCATCAATGTAGCATGTCAGCGGAAATATAACTAGGATGCTGTTGCTGGTTATATCAAGGCTGACTTTTTGCCATTGCTCTTAACAAGTACTGCTGGTGTGCAAGAAATATTTGTTTCACATGTGCTTCTAATAGAACGAATTCAGTGATATAATTTAAAACAATGTTCCAATGAAAATGTCTCTATTTTCCAAGAAATTTTTCTACAACTATTTTTTGCACCATAATGATATGGCAATATAATTGAGAAAGTGAGAAAAAAAAAATACATTTAACTTTTTAATTCAGTTTGAACCCAAAATACTCACATAGCCACAAGAGTATATATATGGAAATTCTAAATCAATAAATGTATTTTAACGAGTAACTTTTATAAATTACTATATGGCATTATTTTACGCTGCTACTAAAAAAAATACAAATGAATTTTAGGTAAAGTCACCGAGCTACATTTTGCACAAAAATGTGCCAAACACCGACAAAATTGGTGATTTCTTAACAATTCCTGGTGAAAAAGTTTTGTCATGTTTCGAAATTTATCAATTATAATATTTCTTACTGGGTAAAAATGCCCAAAATTTGATGACTTGAGTTTGAATTAACAAATACATTGTATGTAAAGGAATATGATAATTTGTTTATTAATATTTAATAGCTTATATGTCTATAAAGAACCTTAACATTGAATGTTGGCAGCAACGTTGCGGTGAGAAAAATTCAGTTGGCAGGTTTTATATGAGTGATCATTGGGCGTAATGAGTGCACCAGTCATCGCTACTATACACATACACACTACTTTATTGAAAACTTGATCCCAGTGGATCTACAATGAAAAGTCCCTAAAGCACTCTTTTATTGTACAACCCCCCCATTCAAAATCTCTCTTATATGTCCCATGTTTGATAAGTACCCTCAGAGACAGCAGGAAGTATCACACAACTCTTGCAAATTACCATTATAATTCATATATAACATGAAAAGTCCCTTCACAGGGTGTGGGTTTCAATTGTCCAAAATTTAAACATCAATCCGAATTCAATGTTGAAGTTGAACGAATCAGACTGACAACTACTGGTATGCAAGAGTATGACAGATAATTTAGTTTACAAACAGGAGAATAAATAAGTATTTATGAATAAACTAATATTCATAAATTTAAATGATCTGACGATAAAGATGGCAATAAAATAAAAAATAATCTCAGTATTGGGAGGGACAAAACATATGTTCATTTTTATTTACTTCAGCGGGTAAAGTATGGTTTAAACACAATTTGATTTGATAGAAATGTTTGACGTAATAAATAGAGTGTGTCCTTGGATGATCAATTCTTATTGTTGAGTCATATACTTTTATCCCTGTAATTCATACAGATTAATTTGCACAGTTAAAGAAAAAATCTATCTTCTAGCACAAGTTATCATTACTCCATGAAAATGAATAAGGTCTAATTTAGGGTATCCATAAGTTAGTCTGCATAATATACTCGTAAATGCGTAAAAACAAGTAAGGTTCTATTCAACAAATAATTATATTCTAAGTGCATAAGGCAAAGTACTTGAAATTCTTTGATACCCAAAGGTATATATATTTTTTGTTTGCTTTCGAGGAAGAATTCAGAAATCATTTCTCGTGTTCAACCATAATCATTAATGGAAAAGTAAACTGGTAATAAATTTTGAATTAAAATTTACCCAAAATTAAAATTCATTTTGAATTCCAAATGACTGACAGTTTGTTGATAGTTCTCTTATTACATGGGAGAAGAATGCTGAATGTTGATTCAATCTTTTCAAATATTTATGAAAAAAAAAAAAAATGCAGCAAGAAATTTCAGACACAAGAATTCTACTTCTTCACAACCTTATTCACTTCTACCATATGGCATCTATGGTCATACATCAATCACAGAGATAAAATTCATTGAAACATCTCAATGGTGTATAGTTTTTTTGTATTCACATTGTGAAAATAAAAAATATATCAATTTCATTCTGTCGGCATTGAAGGTACGCATTACGGTCACTCCATCTTAATAAATTATACCGTGAAACCAACATAAAGTATAAATAGTGTATAAAAGCAGACATCCTAACGACATTACTGGAGGAATTAAAAGAAACGTAACTGTATGTTGCTATATTTTCTACAGTAACCAAATCTGACTTTTTCAAGTTAGAACACGATGATGTACATGATTATTTTTGTAGTGATAAATCAGCAAAAAAATTGTATATTCAATTTTGGCAAAAATTATAAATAAAAATCATTGATAATTTGTGTTACATGACATGACATCACTAATAATATGATACAAATGTGATAACAGACATTTTATATGATTTATACTGACTACCTGTTCAAATAATCCCCAAAAAACACATATTTAAGTTTTGAACTCTAAATTCTCTTGACTGACACTTACTGTAAAATGACTAAATTTCACTGGGTTTAAATTTTGCTTATTTACCAGTTTCAGGCATATTCAGTGGGTTTTAAATTCACGGTTTTATCATTTAGATCATGTGTTCTGTGCTAAATTTTACATATTCACTGGGTTTTAATTTAGTGCATTTTCCAGACAGCGAAATAAGCAAAATTAAAACCCAGTACAGTATATGGTTATGTCAGGTCGTTGATTGTTATTAGGGGCTTTGTGGGACAGATGTTGCACAACTACTTGTTTAATACTTTTTCAGTTGTCCATCATGTATATCTTATCGCCACGCAAATGTGAAATTGACTGCCAATCAAAAATAGCACTGAAGATGAGTGACAGAAAGCGGGTGAGTTGTACATCAATGCTTTAGAACCAGATATCACAATGACATAGACATTGTGCATTTAAACGAATATAATTACGTTATTGTCCAGGGAATTAATTCGGACAAAATTTAATTTACAAAAGAGTAATTATTATAAAAATAACCTCTTCTTGATTTTGTTTTAACAGGCAAGGGAATAAATAAATTGGTCCTTTCTTACGACAGCGCAAAATAATTAGTCCAAGAGCGAAGCTAGCTCTACGGTTCAAAATCGAATGAAATTAATGTAGCTCCAAGACATGTAACGTACGAAACAAATTACCTAGTACATTATTTCCAAACCTTTCGAGTTAAAAATACAAAAAAGTAACATTTCAATTATTATTCGGCAGAAATCAATTGAACATAACAATTCTAACAGGTTTAATATTTCATACTCAAAAACTATTGAACACAGAAATATATACGCATCGACGGTCGCATACGTTTGAATGGATGAATGCATATCACAGGCGATCGTATTTTATACTTAATGTACAAAGACGGAAGGCCTTTCTCTCGAGTACATGTATCAGAAACAGTCGACCGTCGATCAGAAGTGTAAATAAGCTCAACCTACCAGTTGTAGTGGCAGACATGTTGAAATTGTTCCCAAGGTCAGAACGGGTCAGACGTCGCGCGTTGGTTTAATAGTGGAAATCAACACTGCTGCCGATCGGTGGCCGCTGCAAAGAACAGCTACAGACAACGAACAATATCCAGAGCTATATGTTGTCCTTGTGTTTGGTAAACGTTTCGGGTGATAACAGGACAATCACAACAAAAGTGTTGACCACCAGAAAGCTATACACGCAACTACCATACGAGACTATCTTCCTCTTCCGTAAAAAAATACGCTGCTGTTTATTCTTGGACACGGAAGTCACGACTTTGAAATCTCGTCTGATACGCGATTTGATAATTGCTTACTTTGACCCCTTAGCTTGATCATTTTTATTATGTAAGTGAACGAGCCTGAAACTGAGTCGGATATTGACCTCACCAGAGGTGTTGTCACAAAGTTGTTGATTTCTGTTCGACTGTATTTCCCATTCTTTTCACATTAACATTCGAATGTGCATTGTTTTAGAGCCTCTTGTTTATTTCACTCACAGCGCGAATATATAAATTTATAAAGTTGTTTTTTAACACGATCTCGTTCAGCACATCTTCATAAAAACTATAAATCTAAGAATTTGCGGAAGAAATTCATATTTGGACGCTGCTAATCTATACTCACTATCACCAGTCTGTCAAAACTAGTTATTACATGACTCACCTATATGCACCACATGCACATAAATTAAACGAATAAAAACAAAAAAAAACATTATTTCAACGTTGCTGGCGCGATGCCAACATTTATCGTAGCTCAATCGACTCAGTCCTGGACTCAGCTTCAGTGCGATATTGTAAATTATTTATATTGTGAATTATTAAGCTAACTTGTATTTGTATACAGTTTTTATTTCATTACTCAACGACAACACATTTAGGTGAACACCTCAAAGTAAATCACATAATAAGAGTGGCATCTGTTGGATTCACATTGGCGACAGAGTAGTCAAACACTGAGTGTACACAATTTCATTGAAAATATTACTGCGCGCTACAAAAAAAGTGTTACTGTTGGATTAGTACTTTATTTATAATGACGTCATGTCATTTGAGTAGTATATATCCACCTGATTTCTGTACTCAATTTATATATTTACTTAATTGCCAAATTCATTATTAATTTCATTTAATTTTGAAGGGCAATAGTTTTCGCGCCACGCATGCGCGAGATATATGGGTCTCATATGAACAAAGATGGAGACTTTGACTGTTGAGTAGATCAAGGAGTACAAACTGAGACGTTAAAAAACTTTAATTAGGTATTTTTCAGGTGATTGGAAGGTATCGAAGAAGTCAACGGCGTTAATCAGTGCAAGACGCGCCCAGGCCAAAACTGTAACGATCGATCTGAGACAACATCGGGAAGCGACTGACAGCGCTCTCGTGTGTTAGGTATTGTTTCGTTTAACGAAGAGATCGTGGGGGGACTTGACTAAAGAGGCATTTCTATATTTGTATCTCTCGAAAAACAGTGATCTTGTTAGTTGTTAATTTTTTTTATTGAAAAAGTAAAATATTATAAAAAAAATGGAAACATTTTTGATTGGTCATCCGCTCCCAGCTAAGATTGCCTTTATAATCACTACGACCGGACGGATGTGTCTACATTTACTCTTTTGTGATTTTTTCAGTTGAGCAGATTTCGTTCATACTTGGCAGGCAGACCACACCTGCACTGGGGACAGACAACTTGGAAAAATCATGCCCACAGTTGCCGTGACAACAGCCGACAAAATGATTTTTCATTATTTCACTACAAATATATCTCCTCCTACAAATGCTTCAGTGTGTGACCAAATGTACTACAGTGTATTTTGTTTTATATCTTTCATAGCTGGCCCGGTAGTTTTAACTTTTCTGTGATTTTTCGGCTGGCCGACTTTGTTCAAACTTGACAGTCAGCTCACACCAACAGTTAGGTAAAAACAATTGGAGAAATTCCTGCAAAAAAAACGCACAAAAAACCGAATTTGTTGATGAGGCTTCGTGCATATTTAAATCTCTGAGTGTGTGTCAACAGTTATTACTATTTTGTTTTTGAGTCGACGCTAGTGTTTCAACTGCGTTAACACACGGTTACTGAAGAGTAACAGTGGTTGACACTATGCTTTTGTCATTGACAAATGCCACATCTACTGAATTGTTTTACAGCCAACTCTAACTATGGAAACTATAATCCATTAAAAACTGTAATATACAAGACGAGGATTAAGTTATTCACACTCGACTCCATTGGTTAAAACAGTTTGTTGTTTTTAGGGAGGTCGCTCTGGTTTGTCTATATGTCTGTATCGTGACGTATTATTTGTTTGCCTGGACTGACTTTGTTTAAATTACATGTAGATGAATTGACCACACATACGCTCTAGTTAGGTGGATACAATTTACAACTAATACTGTCCTACCGTTGTCATGACAATGGTCATCAAAATTATTACCTGCGTTCTCAAAGATCACCAATCAACCTACTGGTTTGCCATTTTTTTTTTCCTTCACTGAATAGATTAAAAAGTGCTGAGCGAAGATCTTCATAGATTTCATGGTTGTAACTGCTGGGGAAGTTTCAGTGCGACCAAGCCTAAACGGTAATAAAAATAAAACACTGGAAATCCTCTCCGCCTTTTGTTGACTTTATATGCGTTTTCTCTCGGCATAACAAGACAAATGGCGCCCAATTGGTGAAAAGAAATGTTTAGCAAAAACGACAAGCAAATTATAAGGCTGGAATATTTAGACATACATATAAATAAAACCTTTCAAAGTATTGAGTCAATCTCGCTGAAATTATATGTCGATATTTCATTAAGTATATAACTTAGGTTCGTCCCAACACATTTATTTGTTTGAATCGAAATGATAAGTGAGTGATCAATCCGACCGTTTTGGAAGTGAATGTTGTCGGTACACTTCAAAGAATTAACCACAAAATCCATGTTTTAAGAATTTTTCTGGAACTGTTTTTAATGTTCGGTGCACATTAGTCACATTATTTTTGATGTATTCTTCCCAATGAAGAGGGCAGTAAATAGTTTACTAGTATATCAAATATGTTCACGATGTAATTTCCTATGATAGCCTACCCGATGGCGCCCTCTACGTGGTGTACGAATACACTCATAGATACCCTCACCTCGTCGTCCAAGTCGCTGTCGTACTAAACGTGTGACTGCACGTACGTGAAACGCGACATGGAAGAGCATAATTTCACATTTTCTATTATGTAAAACTGTTATCACACTGGGAACTGACTAAATTTCAAGTGTCTTAACTTAGTAACAAGACTAAAATTCATATAATATTCTATATAACTTAACATTTTAGTATATGAAGGCATAACTTCACACTTATGATAGACCCCAGTATATTTTTTTCTTTTTTTTTTTACATAAAATTTGTCATGTAAAGCAAAGTTTGTTTTTATTTTCAGGATCCCAATGGTATTTACTCGTAGCGAAGACACAAAGAAGATTACACATATTCTTCAACTCTATCCTAACCTTCTCCGTCGGAAACATTGCTTTATCAACAAAGGTAAGATAATGTAAGAAAATATAAAATTGATTTAGTATGTGTGAAATAATGTATATATGATATAAATGTAATTGTTTTAAAATATTAATAATCATTTCTTATCATTGATAATGAGGTACTCTTCGGACTGATGCGTAAATCGTTATACACATGATGTTATTGGCTTCCGTTATTTCATATTAATATGGGTATAATCATGTCACACCCGAAAACGGAAATTCTTTCCAGACAATTACATATTATAATCGGATTAATGATTGTCAAAAATTAAACGAGATTCGTCTTGTTTTTTGGTTTGTTGTTTTTTGTTGTTGTTTTTTTTTTTTTTTAATTCAGAAGGCTCTATTTCCGGGCTTGGACTTGGTAATTTCATTCTGGCTGGATGAAATATTCGTCCAAGAGCGATAGAGCTGGTGATTTCACGCAAGATCTTGTGGGTAATTATATTTCCGCTCAAGACAAATAAAAGCGCACGTATGGGTATAGTATTAGATCAATTATGTCACACATTTCACCAAAGTTGGACCAAAGAAGCTGAAATAAAGAAATTGGAAAGTTGTTTCCAGAGTGTTTTAGGCTACACGAAATAGGGGTGATAGCAATTTTGAATTTTTATAAATCACAGGTATACGCCCACCACTTCAGAGAATTGATTTATTATAACGACATAATGCAAATTTGATGACATTAATTTTCTGAACTGTTAAATAGAGAAGAAAACTTGTTTGACATGTGCGCAAAACTAGTACTTCCCTTAAAAGTGTACAAAACCCATACTATAAAAAGATCTAACAAGAGTCATTTTAAAAACAAAAAAAGGGAGTGTTTCTTTTTCTATTTTCAATTACAAATTGGCAGAAAGATATCATATGTGGTTTTGCAGAATATTCACATACATATTACATCAATATTCAACTGGGCTAGCCATATATAATTCAAGAAGACTTGACACAATCTGTGCTATCTGATTCATAACTTATGTGCGCAACAAAAACAAGCAATGTCGAATAGGAATTCTCATAATTTCGTAACGAAATCCTACTCAAAATAGTACCATAAACAGGTGTTATAATATAGTAATGACGTCATAGTATTTGCTATGGTAATGGTATTCAAGATCTCAACTTTTTGTGGTATGTGTCAAATTTGTATGGTACAGCAATGTTAAGAGTATTTTGTGAATTATTCTATCAAAAATAGTTTTAAAATAATAAAACGTGTTATTACGGAATATGTTTGTATTTGGGTAATTTTCTTCTTCAATATATAGTTATATAGATGTATACAGCTGAATCGAATGTTCACTTCAATACCCCAGTTGGCAATACTAGTATACTCCAATAGATTTCCCTTGTTTCCAACTTTTGTGTTTACGCGTGGGTGATAGTGATCGAATATTATACCCAGTAGGTATCCTGTCATATGTAATTATACAAAACAATCCGTTACAATATTTAAAATATTCCATTTCAAAATAGAGCCCCTGAAATATTAAAAACTTTGTTACAATGGAAAAAAAGATTAACATCCATTTGGTAGAATAAAAGAATTGAAAACAGACCAGTTCAGGAAAAGGTTTTCATTAATTCTATAATTGGTGTGTTTATTTTCAAAATAAATTGTAAAGTTGCGTTCGCATTCGTTAAACAAAAAAAAAAAGAAAGTTTATTACAAAACAACCAGAAGATGGCGCTAAACGTATTGATCCTCAAAAATCACTTTCCCTGAAAGCTGAGGGGCCTCACGATTAGTC